TCGATAATAATAGATTCCAATAAATCACCTCAATTAGTAGCTAATTAATTGAAAAGTCGGTGAAAACAATAATAAACATCCAAGAAAATAAACATATTACTCGTCAAAATAATTAATTAATATTAAAATTTTCAAAATAAGGGTTAATCTATATCTTAGTAATGTAAAAATCTAGTCTAGCGTAATATCAAAATTAAACACGCAAAAATCGAACGACATCACCGAAAATTGAAGAAACGTGATTATGAAGCCGCCCAATCTTCCTTCAATTCCCAGCCTCTGTTTTATCTCCTTTGTGTCGGTTTCCTCTGTATGTGTGTGTGTGTGTATATCTCCTTCTCGTAGCTGCAATCTATGTATATATATAATATATTTCAGCAGCTGCCAAGTTTTTTTCTCCAAACCTGTCGATTTTTGTTGTTAATAGAAAAGGTCCATTCCCGACCTCCTCCTTTTTTCTTTTTTCGTTCGTGTGTATAAATGTGTATATATATAATCCAACCAAAAGCTGATCCAAGTTGAGGCCAACTAGTTAATGTTTGCCATTAAAATCCTCAATTCTTTCATGTAATACAAGTTATTCCCTTTCTTCCCTATCTCTCATTTTGATCCTCCAACTTTTATTCAAATGAGATTTAGTCCTCAAACTTCCATTTAATAGTCAATTGATCCTCTTTCTTTTCCAAATGCTTTGAAACGGATCTAACACTGAAATAACAGAAAATCACCCTAAGTTAAGTAAAATTTAACACCTTATCGACATAAAAACATAGTAATATGGTCTGAATAAATGCACAAATTGCACTTATCAAATACCCTCAAACTAAAATCTTTGTTTGCCCTCGAACAAAACTAAATAACAACGAATACACAAGCAATCAAAAATTAATAATAAATAATTAATAAAAATTAATAAAAAAAATAAAAACACGTGGTTAGAAAATCTAGTTTTTTACCTCGGGATTCAAGATCTCAATGTTAATTCCACAAACTTACTTCAAAGTCACAATACCAAACCATATCTACTCTTCCAATGCAAAATC